GAGTGTCTGTCTTGGTACACGTTACCCAAGCATAAGGTTAGAGGGCACGCTGGAAGTGAGTTCGCTAGGTTTTTTTCTGAATATCTTAGCAGCACCTGTGTGGCTCTAACTTTCCGTCTAGTTTCAAATTCACCACTCTACATATCATGGGTTTTTCGCTGAAAAGGAACAAGTGGCGCAGTGGACAGGCCCACACACCTCACTCAAGCCATCGAGTACGCGTTGAAGAGAGAGTAGCCCTAGCTGAAGGGGTCAGTGGAAGAAGTGGAGGTCAAAATGAGCTTGTTGGCGAATATTTCACGATTCTAAGCACAAAAAAATGAAAAAATGCAAGTAAAAATTCTTGATCTGCGCAGAGTGAGTTACTCGGATTTATCCATCCTCTTCAGAAGCTGACAGTTGGACAACTAATACAGAGGATGTTTTTTCACGGTTCTTTTACACACAAATTGCGCCATTGTCTTATTTTCACACGAAATATCGTTCCAGTGGGTTTCCTTGGCGTCGACTAGGTCCGATACGTCGGTAATCATCTGGAATGGTACAACTGTGATGTGCCATCAATATTTGACCTCTTGCAGGGAAAATAGCTCCCAGCAGCTTCGTCGTGTGCAAAGCATAGTTGTAGCAGACCTGGGCACATCGTTGGCGACCATTGCGATCATCCGGTTGGTGGGTGGACCATTTCATGTAATTCACTAAACTTCCATCAGTCCACGTCCACTCTCTGCTCATTGGAAAGTCCTTTTGTTGTAGGCCAATCCATGTGAAATCACGCCAGTCATTCTTCTTGCGTTCATTCGTTGCTATTCCTAAATTTGAAGCCTTTCATTATACGAGGGCTGCCTTTTATATTTCGGGATTCGGCAACCCCAGTGTTGCAATCTGGCAGCTGACAGCTCTATCGTAAAGTTTGACCTTTTTGAGGTTATACGTACTCAGAACATTTTGACATTTGAGCGCTCTTTGTGTTGTTTACACTAGCTTAAACTATTTTGGTCGGCCGTTGGTGAGGACAACATGTTTGGTTTTCAACGCGAACAAATTTTTTTGACAGTCAAATGTTCATGCAATATTGAATGTATGCTGGTCCGAGACAACCTTAAGCTTCAAGGGGACCAGCATACATTCAATATTGCATGAACATTTGACTGTCAAAAAAAATTTGTTCGCGTTGAAAACCAAATATGTTGTCCTCACCAACGGCCGACCAAAATAGCTTTAAAGGCACAGTTCGCGACCGCAAATTGCGGGAAACGGAACTCAAATAGGCACAAAAGTGCTAAGTATCTGATTAGCGGAGAAAGCAGCAGAAAAAGCAGTCCGAAATGTTATAGAGAAAGATAACATAGTGGCTACTAGCTAGTAGCTAGCAGCCGGTGAGGGTCGGCATGGGCCTAAGGGGTGTCCATGGGCCTAATTAGTCAGCTTCTAGCGGAGTTCTTGCCGTTTTTCACATTTTGAAAGGCGCAGCCTCAAAAATCGCCTTCCGGATCGTCCGACACATTTGAGAGATCGTAGCCTTATTTTATCGCTGAATGTGCCTTTAAGTAGTGTAAACAACAGCAAAGAGCGCTAAATGTTCAAAATGTTGCTGTAGTAGCTACTATATAACCTCAAAAAGGTCAAACTTTGACGACTAGAGACTGTCAGCTTGCCAGATTGAACACTGGGTGTTGTCGACATCCCGAAATATAAAAAGGCAGCCTACGTATCATACATTTGTTGGTATATATCAGATTATCTACCATATAGCTACTTCATTTGAAGGAAAGTGACATGTGAATCGAGAAGGCGTGCAGGGTCGACACACCTGGCACGAAAGATACTGTGCCCCTTGACAGGCGCAGCGTGGCGAATTTCTCAACCAAGGGTACCGTTATAGCGTCTACCCGAGGTGCTTCCGGACGCCCATCACAACTGCCCACCCACAGCACACTTACATCGACGTTGGTACTCTTATCGCGCCACTCACGAAGTGCAACTGATATGCTATTACATGGATACGGGGGGGGATAAAAAAAGGCACTTTTCTTCATTAACTTTCGAGGCGCTATAAATTAACTTTTTATTATATTCTCATCGAACTTTTTCACCACCATATTAAAGAACATATTAAATACTATCACGATACTCCACCACAGCCTTCTGGACCACGCCTTGAGATGATTCTGCCCCCCCAAACCATGTTCGGTGCCTGAGTTCAGCGAGATCGTTTATTTCTCCGCCGCTTTAGACCACCCTATTGAACTCCGTCCGAAGCAGGTAATTGATGAGGTTCATGACAGCAGGTACACCGCTTTATATATTCATCATCTTCAGGAACTCAAGCCCGTCCATTCAAGTTAGACGAGAGTTTTTCCAACGCCCTTAAATTTCATGTGGTGTCACCCAATCCTGTAGCAGTACAAAGTTTCCAAGAAGGTACGGGCGACGACATGTGGGGAGGATATTCTTCTCGAGTTGCTCGATGTAACCGCCAGCGCTCACCTTCAGTCTGCGTTGTCACGTAGAGAATTCGGTCTTTGCTCAGTTCGTCCGGTCCATACCATCAGCCCGCGCCTTGGCGGCTTTGATGGAGATGATGTCCTAGACCGTAGCGACGTTCCCGGAGCTGCTTGATGTTGGGATTCTTTTAGATCGAGAGCACTGGTCTCCAGGTAGCTATCCAACTACATATTAGAAGTTTGCGCCAGCCTGTTTGGGAGCTGGCATGATTTCCAAGTCTCTTCCAGTCAGGCTGCACTGGACAGATGACTCATATTTTGGTATGACACGAGTGCATGGTGAGAGCCAGCTCCTGGCTTTTCGCAGAACATTTTGGGTATCTCATGCCTGGGTTATCATATCCATTCCTCTGTCTAATGTGCCTGATAAAAATGGATGTGTAGTATGTGCACTCGGTCTGTGCGAAGTGTCACTCAAAAATCCCTGATACGGGGTAGGCGTGGCTGCGTCCTTCAATTATATGTGACGTGCTTTGGAAGACCTGTCATTTTAGGATCACTGTAACTATGCCTCTGTCCAACCCAGAACAAGATGACTGTCACCCCGAATTGAAATTTTCCACGAGAAACCCATCCTGTGTCATGTCCAAATGCCATACTGTTCCGTCTCAGGAATAAGTAGTATACGATTGCGCCCAGAAAGTCGGCCAAACGGTTTCTCTCTCACACTTTTTTTTGATGAAATCGATTGCTCCACATTTTAGTAATTCATACCTTTCACCCCCCCCTATATGTATAAACCAGAAGTTGTCTGTGCGTCTCTGTGTGTCTTTCGGGAAAGTTGGCATTACCGGAAGGGCCATTTGAGGGGGGTGGTATGGGTACGGGTATGGGCCAGGATGTATGGACCACACATGAACTGAGCTAAGCTCCGCCCACTATGGGCGAGGCTTGCCCTTGACCAGGAGCCTTTTATTTCGAAAATTCGTATTTCGGTTCTAAAAGAGCCGGGATAAAGATGAGATGGTAGGCAATCAGTTGGCGGAAGAAATGAGGGCTCATAGTGGGCGGAGCGTACTACAAATGGGTGGCACCTGCTACAAAATTTCCAAAAAAAATCGTAATTACGTCTATGAAATGAGGAGTATGGCTGGAACTGAGCATCCTGTTGGCAGAAGAATTCAGAAAGAGACACCCGTAGGGAACGTTGTGTGTACAAGGCGACTGGCTTCGCCTGACATGGTTCATTCTGCAATACCTTCATTATAGACAGGGTGATCTATATAAAATTTTGGCGACTGCCTTCTGGGGGTCCAAGCCGGAATATGTGCCCTTATGAGCGTTTTCCTCATGCGTTTACTTCTCTCAACGCGGCGTGATTAATTTAGTGGTTTAATATGGCTATTCTCTAATCGGGACCTGGACTGTTTGGACAACTTCGTTGTGTTTTTGTCAGTTGTTTGACAAGTGCTCACCGGCCTAATGAAGGAGACGTCGAAGAGGTAGGTCAGGGTCTGTAGACGGCGATGGGCATCGCTCGTCTCGTACATTCTGTGTCGCCTTAACAGGCCTTCTATCCGGCAACATTAGTAGCATTAGAATATATTAAAATTAACCAAAAATTAAGTCGTTTTCTGCTTCACTGTGGATCGATGCCAAATGTCCGCCTTGTAAAACGCATCGTCGTTCTGCTTCGTCGAATGTAGCATTTTCTCGGAATGTCTAAAAATTTTGAGAATGCTCCAAACTATTTCAGCAGCTTCTTGTACGAACATCATATTCTAAGTGCGGAAAATATCATTCACTCTATGTAGGTTGCTACGACTGTTTCTATGTTCGTTTGTTTGACTATCTGCCTGTCTGTTCTGAGTTCGGCTCGCCCTGAAGAACAACTTGGAGAGCTCGGATCAAATTTGGGATGGGTAGGGCACTGGACAAGTCCCGAAGAGCACACTTGATCTATACCAGGCGGTAGGCGCATAACATCGCAAACTTGCGGGGGGTAGCAGGAAAAAAAACTCATTATATCGCTCCAAGGCTCAGCGCAGCCCAACCATAAGGGAAAGTGGAGTAAGATTCGCGAGAGGTCGGCAGACTAACTCAGGGGGACATGCTCGTAGTGAATGCGGCGTAACCGCTGGGCGCGGTTTCCCACGGAATCAAATAGCTCGATTACCAAGATAAGTTTAGAGATCGCCAAAATGTCAGTGGAGCAGAGAAGCATCTTCCAAAGTAGGGCATGCCTGTATTGCGTCGAAACCCGATCACGAAGGACGAGCTGACTTCAGGCATGCAGATACTCGTCTTATTCTCTCTAGTTTTATCCTATTTCTCAACACCTTCCCCTATGTAGTCCATGTCCTCATGTCTTCAACCTGTCGCACTGACGAGCTCGGGGGTTGGCTAGACAATGATGATTCGTCTGCGATACCGAGCGAAACGGATCATCTGTGCTCTGGAGTGTATTCCTTTTCCCAATGTTTGCTTTTCTTTGCTTCTAATTACCTCACTTTCAGCAGGAGCTACCTATACTTACACTGCATTCTACTTCATAAGAGCATTTCTCTCAGCACAGAGAATTCTCTGCGAAAATTTCAACTCACCTTGCTAGCAAAGTTAACTGCCATCACGATCGACGAAGGACCTTCTCTACACCGCTCCCTGCTGTGTATATGATAAGGAGCCAGAAGAAGCCACAAAGAAAGAACGCATAACCATCCAATGCTACTGAAATATCGAGCAAGAGCTACGTTAGCCACCTTACGAGCCACGCCCAAAAAAAGGCTTTTTGATGTTTTAGACTGTTTTTTGTTTGATAACTGCTGTTTTACGCCGCAGTGCGCGATACGAAAGTTATCACAAGAATGCTGAGTTGTGGGCAAAAGTCGGACCACGGGCGGGACTCGAACCCGCATCTTCTGCTTACCGGGCAGTTGCGTTACCACTTACGCTACCGGGGCCACTTTTGACCTCTCAGCTCAATGGCTATTTGTGCCATTGCCTTCGAGCACTCACACGTTCAACGTGATGAGCCGGTTAGCCGATATCGGCAGTGAACCGCAAGGCTGAAGGCTTTTTACAAGTTTTTGTGCCATTGAGCTGAGAGGTCAAAAGTGGCCCCGGTAGCGTAAGTGGTAACGCAACTGCCCGGTAAGCAGAAGATGCGGGTTCGAGTCCCGCCCGTGGTCCGACTTTTGCCCACAACTCAGCATTCTTGTGATACTTTGAGTGTTAAATTATCAAGGAGCATTCAACTAGTAAGGTAGCTGTGGTTACTATCATACTAGAGCAGCTCTCAGAAAACGGCACGCCATTACATTAGGATACATTTCCAGCCCTCCGAATGCGGTTCTCGCTATGACCCCCTCCCAATAACAGTAAGGCAGAAAGGTATATTATATAGAGTAGGATCCTTGTAATTCACTCGTTCGCGCACATTAGAGATTGCACTCGGTCATTCAAGGCTTTTCTTTTCACTGTTGTACAAATAAAAGCGGGCTATCTCGCGACGTGTAATGCAAAATAAGAGAGGCTCCAGAAGTACCCTCTTATTGAATATTTATTTATAACTATTCTGAGAGTGGAGCTATCCAAATGTGGGAGACCTTTTTCGCGTTATAAATCACTCAAAGACGTAAAGCCTGCGCATCATTCTCCATCACACACAGTTTTGCGATTAGGAAGTTGCATATAACGACCAAAGATTCTGAGTAAACTTTTATTAGGGAAGAAAAATAGCGCAAAAAGCAAACATGGCGCAAACGGCCAGGTAGCAACCATTCCAAACCCGGTTTGTGCGTGCCCAATTTACTCCTTTTTCAAAAATTACGCCCTCATTCGCACAGTTGTTTCCCCGATAAGAACTCTACGACCGCAAAAGTGACGATTGTCATGCTTTTTCCTCCATGTCTAGCGCTTACTAGGACCATTATTTTCGCCTATAACGCCTCCCTCCCTTTGGTGTCGCGAAACTCGCTAGCAAGCGTTGCTACGTTTTAGGCTAACAATGCTCTCCAACGCCATATATTTTGAACTTCTATGATCGCGGACTGCATCTTCAAAACACTAAAATCAGCGCCGAAATCGGAAGGCTTCCCTTTCCAGAAAGCACCTCACTTTTTCTCACTCCCGTTGCTCACTGAAAAATTCCGCGTCTTCTTTGGAGTGGACCTTACAGCAGCGCTGATCGCATCACTTACAATGGGTAGGCAAAATGGAACCTTCTCCCAACCCTCGGTCACAGGACTTTGTTGGCTGCTAGTGGGTGGTGCAGGAGGGCATACGCCTCTTACGGGGCTCGGGTTAGCCATTGGAAAGCTGTAATTAATGTAAGCTGTAATGTAAAGGTGTAATTTTGTTGCGATGGGATTCGGATGACGCAAGAGACCCGCATCACGTGCCAGTCACGCGATTCCCAGTCTGCTTCAAAGACATAAGAAAAGCTTCGAATCTTCTCTTCGAAATCATTGATAAATAGCTCATTCGATGCCGATTGACAATCCCTCTGTATTTTCGTCCTGAGCTCCCCTTTTCTAAGCTTGCAGCTGCCTTCGGTCATCAGCCGTATTACTCGGCAAATCTTGAGAATCTGCGCCATAGGCGCACACGCCGCATGCTTTCAAACATAACGTGAAGGGATCTATGCTTTTGGTGAGATAATTCCATCTTGACACAACTGTTGTCGTGTCTCTGTCCAACAAGAACAAGATGACAGTTGCCCTGGCACTGCGAATATTTCCACGCGTAACCAGTTTCCCGCTACCCATGTTTAAATGCCAGTCTACTCAGGCGGCCAGGATAAGAAGTGTTTCACTTCAGGTGTCCTTCACAACAAGAACCATCAATAATATTTTTCAAACAATATTCTCAGTAACTGTACGACTTTTTCTTGCTGTTCTTTCCACTTTCAAATGAGCCCTGCGCTTACGACCCTCTCCCTCCTTTGCAGCCAAATACAACCTCGTGTTGCGATTTCCATCAAGGCGTGCCCGCGCCTGGAAATCATGATTGACTGCTGCCATTCCATGAGAAGTGAAAAACTGGAAAGTTGGTGAAGATTAGTTGAAAAGAAGACCATGGCGTACTTTGGAACGCAGGATGCACTTTTCGTGTGGGTGGGGGTGCTTTTATTCTTATAGACCACATTATATTCTCCTGGCGTATAAAAAGAAGCAAACGTTTCACAGTTTCAAAGTTCACCATTACTGGTCCCTTTGGACATTGGTCGGATCATTTCCCACAGGGATGCGAGAGTCGAACAGTTTCGGCTCCCTGCTCTCTACCAACTTCTTGATATCCAGCAACCGCTTCTGTTCGTAGCCACAGGGTGCATACAACCTGTACACAAACTATACAGTTCCTTACAAGGTTTTAGTGGTAAGAGCACCTGTCGGAGTGCTCCCTTTTCGTGGGAAGAAATACACTAACGCTTGAGGAGGAGCTCTTTGGCCGAAAACTATGCACAACTGTTAAACTACTTCTCGACATTTCTATTACTGAGGACCCCTGACGTGCTCTCAGAAAAAAAATGGTTGGTCGGCTGATGTCGTAGAGGGGTAGAATAGTGAAGATTTTCCCGATAGGGCGATAGTTAATATTGGATCCATTTTTGAAAGTTTACTGCTCTGTTCTGCTGAGTACCGAGGACTGAAGGGTGTCATAAAGGGGTTAGTTGAAAAAAAGGAGAGAACTCCCTGACAGAGCTTCATCTCTTGTTCAATAAACCGAGTGGAACCAGCTCATGACCGCTCACCATGTGGACGCGAATGCCGAAGACTATCCAATACAGTGACGGTCTGCAGATTGCTGCGAAGGTTCACTGCCTGGAAAACATAACTTAACTTTACCATCGTTAGATCTTTT